GGCAGAGGGGAGCGCGAGAGGGCGTCGGCGTCAGCATGCTGGCGTCCGTTGCGGTACAGCACGCGGATATCGTAGTCTTGTAAGCGAAGAGCCCAACGGGCGAGACGGCCTGAGGGATCCTTCAATGATGAAAGCCAGCATAGTGCATGATGATCGGTGACGACATCGAATGGGCGACCATACAAATAAGGTCGAAACTTTGTAAGAGCCCAGACGATCGCCAGGCACTCTTTCTCCGTGACGGTGTAGTTTTTCTCGGCTCTCGTGAGCGTACGGCTTGCATATGCTACGACATATTCAGGGAATCCGGGTTTTCGCTGCGCCAGGACAGCGCCGAGGCCTACTCCGCTGGCGTCCGTGTGCACCTCCGTTGGGACTGTAGGGTCGTAGTGGCGTAGAATGGGAGGCGACGTCAACAAATGGCGGAGCTTCGCGAACGCGTCGTCGCACTCGGATGACCACGAATTGAAGGGCCCGTTGCTTCCAAGGAGCTTCGTCAGCGGTGATATGATCGTGGCGAAATTTCGTATGAAGCGTCGGAAGTATGAGCACAGGCCCACGAAACTACGCAGTTCTTTGACAGATGCAGGTTTGGGGAATTCGGCCACGGCCTGAAGCTTGGCAGGATCAGGAAGAATGCCGTCTTTGGACACGACGTACCCCAGTATGGTGAGTTGCCGTGCTGCAAAGCGGCACTTTTTCAGATTTAGTTGTAAGCCGGCATTGCTCACACGTGCGAAAACTTCTTTCAGACGTTGGAGATGCGTGGAGAAATCCGGAGCAAAGACAATGACATCGTCGAGGTAACACAAGCACGTGTACCATTTCAAGTTGCGCAGAATGGTGTCCATCATGCGCTCAAAGGTCGCAGGTGCCTTACATAGACCAAACGGCATGACGTTAAACTCGTACAAGCCGTCTGGCGTGACGAAGGCGGTCTTTGGTCGAGCGTCGTCAGCCATGGGTACTTGCCAGTACCCCGAGCGCAGATCGAGAGAAGAAAAAAAATCGGCTCCATGAAGGCTGTCAATCGCGTCATCGATGCGTGGCAGTGGATAAACATCCTTGCGAGTGATCTTATTGAGCCGTCTGTAGTCTACACAGAACCGAACAGAACCGTCTTTCTTCGCAACAAGAACAACAGGAGACGCCCATGGACTGTCGGAGGGCCGAATAACGTCGCGTCGGAGCATATCGTCAACCTGATCATTAATTACTCGACGTTCAGCAGGCGACACGCGATATGGACGTTGCCGTAAAGGTGGATGGTCACCAGTGTCGATGCGATGCGTAACAACGGACGAGCGACCGAGAGAACTTCGCCCGACATCGAAAGAAGAACGATATTCTTGTAACAGGTCCAGAAGTTGGGAACGCTGTACGGCCGTAAGGTTGTCAGCGATGGAGGGGCCAAATACATCAGCAGACGACGAATCAGAAGTGGAAACAGCATTGATGGTACACGACCTGGGAGCGCGCGTGTCATCGGGTACGTCCAGGACTTGTGCGTCGTCGACTGGTTCCACTCTGCCGAGACATTCCCCTCGAAGCAAGGTAACAGCGTACGGGAACGGGTTGGTTACAAAAATAGCAGTGTTGCCCTGGTTGACCTGCACGGTCGCGAAAGGTACTAGCAACCCTTTCCTGCTGCAAGCGCGGTCAGATGGCGAAACAAGTCCAATGGTGTCGGAGAGACCAGCGCAGTAGACAGACACAGCCGTCGTCGAGTTTGGAGGCACTGTTGTATCGTCTCTCGTTAGAATCTTGCTCAGTGTCGGGGGACTGTCTTCTGGCGTCAAATGCGAGAAGGGTGAGAGCTCAATTTCGGCAGCGGCACAATGGATGACGGCGTCATGGCGGGAGAGAAAGTCCCATCCCAGGATGACGTCATGAGAGCATGCCTGAATGATGATGAACTGGGCGACATACAGAACGTCCTGGATGACAACGCGAGCTGTGCACCCTGCTGTAGGATGAATCCGGTGCAAACTCGCAGTACGAAGGGATAACCCAGAAAGTGGCGTCGTCACTTTTCGAAGTAAGCGGCAGAGGTTTTCGTCCATAACTGATACGGCAGCTCCAGTGTCAATAAGAGCCGATGCACAAACACCGTCCACAAGCACGTCAATGACATTCGAGGGGCTGCTCTGAGGGCTTTCACATTGCGATAGCGTCGCAGTCTTTGCCTCAGGGACTGCGACGACTAGTTTTCCCGCTCATGAGATGCCGCACTTGGCCGCATGGGAGACAGGGAACGGCGTCGTGGAGACGGTGATCTTCGAGACGGACCTGGGCGAGATCGAGGGGGCATAGACGGTGGTTCTTTGCGATAAGGATGGCTGAGTTGGCCAGCAACAGGTGAAGAAATTGGAGCCGGCTGTACGCGATGGCAATAACGGGCCACGTGACCGGCGTAACCGCAGGCAAAGCAGATGGGCCGGTTGTCGGGTGTGTGCCATCTGTTCACCGGGGTAGGTCTCACCCATGTCGCAAGGGCTGATGGACGGAACGGTGGCTGCATGGTGGACTGAAGCTGAGGCTGAGGGGTTACGTCAACATACGTAGCGGGCATACCCGCTGCAACGGACGGAGGTCGTGCAGCAGCTTCAGCGTAGGTCAGAGGGGCGGGTGCTTGAACGACTTGGGGTGGCCTGGCGACCACTTGCGCGTAACTCAGGGACGCAGGAGCCGGAGGCTGTTGGGGGTGGTAAGCAGGCATTACCTCCGCTATTTCCTGTTCAATCGCTCGGCGGATGGGAGGGAGAAGGGTAGTAGCCGATTGTTGAACAGCAGGTTGGTGGGAAAAGGGCAGGAGGGAGAACTGACGCGCGATTTCCTCACGGATAAAGGACTTCAGTTCTGCCATCAACGCTACTTGGTCACAACTGGCCTCCAAGCCAGCAAGCGTTGCAGCTCGTGGTGGGGAGCGTCGGGTCATCGAACGCTGCCGGCGGAGCTCCTCGTAGCTCTGGCACAGTGTGATGACCTCAGCCACCGTGCCGGGGTTTTTGGCGAGCAGCATCGTGAAGGCATCATCGTCGATGCCTTTCATGATGTTTCGGATCTTGTCAGACTCGGACATGGTGTGATTGGATTTGTTGCATAGGTCCAGGACATCTTCAATATAGCTGGTGAATGACTCACCAGCCTCCTGAACACGTTCACGCAAGCGCTGCTCGGCTTGCAGCTTGCGAACAGCAGGGCGGCCGAAGACGTTGACGATTGCGGTCTTGAAATCGGACCAGGTGGCAAAATCGGACGCGTGGTTGTTGTACCACAAACTGGCGACACCGGCAAGGTAAAACACCAAGTTTGCCAGCTTGCCGTCCTCGTCCCATTTGTTGGGGACGCTCACGCGGTCGTAAATGGCGAGCCAGTCCTCCACGTCAGTGCCATCAGCGCCAGTGAAGATGGGTGGATCGCGGATTCTGGGGACACCGGGACAAGGGGGTGGCATTGGAGGAGGCGTTTGTTGAGAAGCGTCTTGGTACATAGTAGATGGCAGGGTACGTGATCGTAGCTCCAAAGGCATAGACAGGGATCGCAGCACTCTCCACCAAATTGTTAAGGCGTTTATTAGCCGGCAACGAGCGAGAATATGCAATGGCGACAGTCACAGCAAAGCACGGGCTCCCAGCGCGAGCGGCGTCCTTGTTGGGTAGCCCCACTAGAAGGTACGCAAGAGTTCGACCCATTTCATAGTTCGGAGGCTTCGCTACACTTATAACATATTGGCCTATATTGCACAAAAGGGGGTTTCTATACTAATGCCAAACATCGTAGGTAGTAGGACGAATCAAATCTAAATAATTAGGTATCAGGATTAGTTCAAGTCACGAGAGGTGAACTTCAGCATTACGAGCCTGCTGGCTTTCTACGATGAACTTTGACAACGCTTCAGTTCGTTCAGTTAAAGGTATATTCGTATACAAAGATCGTACATTTAATGTTACCAGAATAACCTGACCCGAAAGTGTTTGTGTTTCAATAGTGTTATATAATATTGGGAAGAAATGGGTAGTAGTCTTAACAATTGGTGGTAGGGTGGATGGTACGTCAGATATATGATGATTTAGAAATGTTGATGGGGACTATTCAGTAAATGCATTGTTGTTGGAGACTATAGGTCTGCCTGGGATTTCCGCGGTAAGTGAGTAGTTCTATGCAAACCCTATGAATCTTTCGAAAGAGGTAACATCAACCTGCTTGCTGGTTTTGGGCATTAGGAACCTGTGCTTAGACCGTGTGATTAATTTCCTTGCTACAGAATTTGTTATAATGTGTTTTATGATATTACTATAAATTTTTGTTGGGTACTAGGCTAGCCTTTGATTGTGAGTGTTGTTTTTAAGTTGTCTGGTAGCTTTGCTTTTACATTTTGCTATAAGGCAGATTACGAAAGTAGGCCCTACCCCCCTTGTCTGCTGCTTTTAGGAAAACATCCTACCTGTTTGAAAGTTGTTTCAAGACGTAGTGCTCTGCATTAGTTAAGTTCTTTGGCTTTCAACTCTTTTTATTTGTAGCCAGTATTTCTCTTGAAAGTAGTTATATGTGTTGATCCTAATATTGTTCTGTATCTCGCGTCCAGATGCTCAGCAGTCGTAAAGATTCATGGCTGACGTTTTCTGTGTCAGCCTTGTATTTGTCTCTCACACCTGCGTATTCAATTTTGCCCCCATCTCCCATGTTGAAATGGCGGAGAGGGTACGAAGCGTAGACATGCCCACACTAAAGAAGATAAATCTGCCTGTCGAAACGTTGACTCAACACAAGACCTGTTCATGGATCTTGTATCGCAAGCTTCCTGTACCCCTTTCTACCGTTTTTCGAGACATAAGTTGGAGAGGACAGATGTTACGAAGCGTAACTTAATGTGCTTGTCGTGCTGACTTCGTAACGTGTCCTTTCTAACTCCTTTGTCTAAGTAACTGTAGCGCATTACTTTAATCTGACAGGATATACCTGCCCAATATCTCACTCTGCTGTGATTATCTTTCCAGTTGGTGACATTAACCCTGGCCACGACTGTGTGCTGCAAGGTTAGGGCCCGCCGAGGCTACCTGGCCGTGCCTCTCTGATATACTTTGTGGAGTGCCAGTGACAATAACCGAAATTCAAGCACCCGTACAGTGATGCACGAAGTAGTGGCGTTTGCGGAAGCTGCACCATTGAGATTAAGCATGGTGCGCTCTCTCTCATTTTGTTGTGACTTTCGCAGCATTAGCCAAAGCACAAAAGAAGCTCTTCTTTCTCGCAGCTCACCCCGTTCACAAGAAATGTGAAATGTGTAGAGAAAATAACAATCGTTCAAAAATCTAACTTACCATTTAGGTACTAGAATTGCTTTGCAAAACACATATTGCATTTGTGTGCACAAAGAGTATCGCAGACACCATCGCTTTCAGGAAGATCGTCGCTTGCCGCACCACCACCTTGCTGTGTTTTGCAGACCACTCAAATTCCGGATAGGAGAAGGTAGGAGCTTTAATGTATGCATGCTGAATAGGGGCTTTTTTTATACCTACAGGGATCCAGGGAATAAATAGAATGAACACGATAGAAACTGAATTGCCATTCGCCTCATTCAGAGAGTTGCTACGCAGTTCATGTGTGTATGCTTCTTTCCTATCGTTCATTATGTCAAGGGGCTTCCAGTGACCCCTATAAAAGGGTCCTGCATAAAGGGGTCTTGTTTATCGGAGTAAGCATCCGATGGCTATTATAAAAGAACTTCATGTCTCGAGAATCGGCCCCTATAATTTTTTTAATTCGTCAAGTATAAGTGGTGTGACAAATTTATTGCACGCTTTATTTTTTATATTGTCACACGCCATGATGAACAATAAGAAATGTTCCATCAAGGCAATAAAGACGACAACTAAAATAGCACTTGCGTTGTTGCTGCTGCTCTGCCATGTTGGCTGAAGGACTATGTGTACAATTTGTTAATATATTACTTACTTCCTTTTGGCTATTCTCCCGCCATGACCTTTCGGTTGTAGTGCTGGCTGCCGAGACAGAATAACGAAGCGACGCAGTTGCCGATGCTTGATTTTTCCTGTGATGGCAGAAGAGGGTTAGGCTACTTTAGCGGCAACTGCAATGGCAACAGTTGTTTTTCCTCAGCTCAAAGACCCATATTTGTTCTGTGGTACTGACAAAGTCGACACCAAGATATAGTTGCCAGTGTACGAGCGAAAAAGTCAGTGTACGAGTGAACAAGTCATACTTTTGACTGAGAGGCCCTGCTCCTGTTGGCGAACATTTTTTTGCCTGAAAAAAAAAAAAACATATAAGGTGTGGTTTCAAAAACACGAAGCTGAAATTGGCAGCTTAGAAGTTTGCAAAGAAAAAAATGCGCGCACTGTTCGGCGAATCACTTTACATTAAGATATCGGCAAAGAAAGAGCAGGAATCTCGTGATGAAACATCGCTGGAGTAGTACCTGTCTTACATAGAAGACTTGCTATCTTTTCCGCATGGAAGAAGACAGCATGAAGAAGACTGAGAAGGTAGCGCACATATTAAAAGGGCATAGCTGATGATGCATTCAATCTCTAGTCTTGGAGGACGGTGGTCAAGTATATGCCATCTACAGAGAATGCCAGAGTTTTGAGGCCGCCAAAGGACGACGCACTGGCCATAGGTTCGCTCAACTTCCTCACACAGCAGCAACATGGTCGTATGAAGAAGTACCTGCACCACAGGAACCGTTGACTGTAGAGCACATAACGAACATAATCCGAGAAAACCCTAAAGTTATGTCTCCTGTTTCACGTGCTCTGATGCCTATGATTCAAGCCCTCAAACGGTACCTCTAGTGCATGCCATTTTCTTCAAGGAGCTTTTGTTGGCGAGAACTGTGTGTGTGACGCAACTCCCTCCCGACCAACTTATTATCGTCCGGCACTATCCTATAGCCAAGGTCATATGCTCCCAGTGCCACCTCGTAATCCCGCTGAGTGGAGGACTACTGATGAGCAGTCCGTTTGCTTTAAAATGAGCTACGGTGCTTTTTGGAGGTTAATCAATCTCTATGAATTTCACTGGATACATTCATTTGCACGTTCGCGCCACTCTTGCGAAATTGCAGGCTTGAGAGTTTCACAAATTTTGAAATGATCTTTAGAGCTTGCCCGAAAACTCTCACCATGCTTGCCAGAATTGATGGCAACATTGTGTATTTGTAGTGATTTTTGCAAGGGGAAAGTACAGTCTTCTGGTACATTGTAGCGACAGTGACGGAAGTGATCTACCACAGCAGCGTCTGCTTGTCTGATATGAATTGTGTGTGTTCGGTCAGCGCTTCCTGGGAAGGGGTGCGGCGTTGTGGGCCACACGATTCCCTAAATATTCACCAAACAGCGTAAGTGTTTCAGCCGATCACCGCAAACATGAGCTTGCAAGGCCTGGACAAGTAGCGCCATTTGACGGCGTTACTTGCAACGAGGCAGACAACTACGAAAATCTGACAGACAGCTACGAGACCCTTCTGCATGATGTGAACACAGAAGATGAAAAGCTAGACAAAAAAAAATGGCCTATAAGATAGCCCTAAGGTTACCGCGTATAACTTCAAACGACAAACTACTGGTGCTTCGGCTTCACAACACAGTTGAAGAACTGTGCGAGACGTAGTTACTAACACAAGACAATTGCCGTCTCCAGACTCCAACTGGCAGATCAGGAGGGGATCAAATATTACAAAAAAACCCAAGAAACTAAAGATTTTTCAAAGGAACTTAGAGAACGGTACACCATGTTACTAACACCAAATAACATTGATTCTACTTGGCATGTTGAGAGAAGATATTCTCCATGGTTTTTTGAATACATTGAGATAATCTGAAAAATACGAACATAGGAAGGTTCACGGACGCTACTACGCTTTAACACACCCATGCGAGGAAGGCTGTGTCTGTCGTCACAGACCATAAAGCGAAAATTGTAGTGTGTGCTTCAGTGAACCAGGCGTCGAACAACAGAACCAGAAGTAATCTGATGAGTAAAATCAAGCCACGCCAAGTGCTTTATGTAGTGCTACCACACTTGGTAACGTTAGGTCGGTCACTGTCTTTAGTAAGCAGCTGCGTAAACATCTATAGAACATGAAAATATGTTTGTAGACACAGTGCATCGCGTAGTGGTACTACAGATAATCTCCGGTGTTGCTTTAACCTAGAAGTTGTCGCATAGTGTTCCTTCTAAAGCGTAGTTGGACTGCGCCACAATTATGGTAGTGTGGACTTAACAATTACATTACGTTCCACGCAGAGCTGAAGGTAATCAACTGCAAGCAAACCAGTATGTTCATACCAAGCGTGATTTGAGAGTAGATTCAAAGTAATCCTAGCACAGTACATAGACATGAGCCTATATAGGTTTAGGATTATGATGCTGTAGGTTGCCGGTGGATCAAGCCTTGCGGAATTTGCAAGCAACTGCCCCGCTTGATTTCTTCTTGTGGCATCATAATCATCATCATCATCACCATCATCACCATAATAACCACCACCACCATCATCATCATCATCGCCAGCCTGACTGGGTCCTCTGCAGGACAAAAGCCTCTCTTATGTTCCGCCAGTCAACTCGGTCCTGTGCTTGCTGCTGCCAATTTATGTATACCCGCAAACATCTTAATCTCATCTGCCCACCTAACCCTCCGTCTCTCCCTAACCCGCTTGCCTTCTCTAGGAATCCAGTCAGTTATCCTCAATGACCAGTGGTTATCCTGGTTACGTGCTACATGCTCGGACCATGTTCATTTCCTCTTCTTGATTTCAACTATAATATCCTCAATCCCGGTTTATTCCATAATTAACTCTGCTCTCTTGTTGTCTCTTAAGGTTACACATACTACTTTCCTTTCCATCGCTTTGTCGTTCTCAATTTCAACTGAACCCTCTATGTAAGTCTCCCGGTTTCTGCTCCGTAGTTATGTACTGGCAAGGTGAAGCTGTTATATACTTTCCTCTTGAGGGATAGCGGCAATCTACCTGTAATGATGTGAGAGTGCTTGCCAAATGTGCTCCATCCCATTCTTATTCTTCTAGTTTTCTCAGTCCCGTGGTTCGGCTCCGCGGTTATTACCTGCTTTAAATAGACATAGTATTTTACAACTTCAATTGCACTGTTACCTATCTCGAATCGCTGTTCTCTTCTGAGGTTGTTGTACATAACTTTTGTTTTCAGCAGATTATTTTAAGAACTACTTTTCTGCTCTCCTTGTGTAACTCCGTAATCATGAGTTGCAATTCGTCCCCTCAGTTACTCAGTAATGCAATGTCATCGGTGAAGTGCAGGCTACTAAGGTGTTATCCATTAACTCTTATGCCTAACTGTTCCCATTATAGGCCTCTGAAAACCTCCTGTAAGCTCGCGGTAAATAGCATTGAGGGGATTGTATCCCCCTGCCTTACACCCTTCTTGGTTGGTATTCTGTTGCTTTCTTTATGAAGCACTGTGGTAGCAATTGATCTCCTGTAGATTTCTTCCAGGATGTTTATATATGCTTCGAAAACGCCCCGATTCCACAGTGTCTGCATGATTACTGATATTTATACTGAATCAAACGCTTTCTCGTAATTCATGAAGGTTATGTATAGTGGTTGGCTATGTTCTGAGCATTCTGAGCTTTTGGAATCATGTGACGCCTATGCCTTTTTAATTGAAAGCGTGGGCATGCTCTATAGAAACTCGTGCGCACAGCAATCTCAAGAGCTTCACTGCAGTTTGTTGAGAATTGGGAATTATGAAAAAAAAAACATTTCTGGACGGAAGGCGAAACGTCGGCAATGATATGGTGTGTGAAAAAGAAGTATACCAATAGACAATTCTAACATTCTTGACCACATACATGGCAGTAACCATTCAATTTCAAGTCCAAGTACAAAGCTGGTTCTCACACGTGCTAAAGGCGATATTAAGGAAGTCTCTTCCTTGGAGCCTTGGTGCCAATATGTAGGACAGATAAGCTTTTGAACGCAAGTTTAGATAGAAGCCACGCAGGATGCTCTAGCTACATTAAGAGTGGTATTGAAAAAAAATATCAGCAGATCCCACGTACCTGGGAGTCGACGTTATGCGAAGCATGCGAAGGGAAGGTAACCGTATTACAATTTTTTTTCTGAGCGACACGCCTTAAAATGATGCTAAATATAAAATGTTTTATGCACAGATATACGTTGAAGAGTTGCAGATGTTTACATAACCAGTTGTTTGCACTTGCGCAACGACGTCAACTGGAACATGCGTATTAGCAACACAAGAAGCTGATATGACATCAGCCACTTCGAGCATACTTCCTATTTGAAAGTAAGCATGCGACTGATTTCTGTCTGGCTGGGTATGTAAACTGGAAAACACCAACCAAAAGGTACGTGAACACGGCGTAAACACGATGTTTCGGAACCGACTTCATTCCTTCCTCAGGGGTGACTGGGGCTACAATGCAGGGACGTCTTCAAGCCACTCACGGGGCGGTTATTGACCCCTCCCCTGTCTCTCTCTTTCCTACAGGGGCTGCGGAAGTATGTCTGAAGTATTGCAGAACAGGCAAGCGTTGAACAGGAGCCCTATATTAGTAAACCGCTTTTTCATGCTTTTTTTCTGCTGTGGCTTGTTGATGCAGATACCGATGGGAACGAGCAAACTGTTTATGAACCGGTCAAACCATTTGCTGCTGCCAGAAAATAATTTTCTTCCAAAAGGACGTACTGTCACCGCTGCCCTGCCGAAGCTGTTGTGAGCCGATGAGTGTGATGAATTGTTTTTCGATGTTTAGGCTTTTCCGTACTGAAAGGCCAAACATTCTTTTAGCTTTAGTCTATGATAAACCTGATCAGCCTTGCTTATGGTACCTCGGAGCCATAGCAACAGCTTTAC